TGGGAGAGAGATGTGGCAGTCTACTTCAGTGGAGACGTACTGCCTTGGAAACCTTATGGGGTCGCTATGAGTTGGAATATGAGTCACTATGAGTGGATTTGGGTTTGGTATGGGAGATGTTAAAGGTAACATTTAATAGTTTTACTGTCTCCCTCTTCAGTCACACCTCTCCAATTAGCCAATGTTAAAAGTTTGGAGTGTATATTTCCTTACCTTTGTGGATGATTGCCTACATTTTTATGAGTATATATCTGTATATTCTGACAAAGAGTTTGTATTTTACAAAATGGAATAATAGTCTACATATTACTCTGCCACTTAAAATTTTTACTTAAAATGCATCATGTACATCCTCCCACGTCACTCAATACATATACTCAATTCATTCTTTTAACAGCTGCAAAATATTCCTTTATTCAGTTCTTCTTCTGTTGAAAATTGTTAGTGTAAATAGTTTTTAATTGAGTCCTTTGTGTTTTCTAGTTATAAAATCCAGTCATCTGCCAAAAAACAAAAACTTTTCTTCCTAATATTCATGCTGTATATTTCATTGTCTTATTGCTGTAGCTAGCATTACCAAAACAATAATGTGATAAGGATGAGAGCTAGCATATGTTAAGTTTTTAATGACAGTTGCTTTAGTGTACCCTGGTGGCGCAGTGATTAAGAGCTCAGGCTTCTTTTGGTCAGCAGTTCAAATCCACTAGCCGTTTCTTGGAAACTTTGTAGGGCAGTTCTGCTTTGTCCTGTAGGGTCGCTGTGAGTCAGAATTGACTCGACAGCATTGGATTTAGTTTTTGGTTTTAGTGTGTTACTATTTGCTAAGACTTTATTAATAATATAATACATATCCATGAATATATGAACCAAAACAAAATGTAGGACTTAGATAACAACCCATATGCAGCCACGTAATTCCCTTCTCCCCATTTTACCCACCTGCCTTCCCTCACGTGAGGCAACCATCATTCTAAATCCCATGTTCATCATCTCCTTACTTTCTTTTTATGTAGTCTTATTGCATCCATATGTATTTGTAAAAGAATTTGTTTTTAGTTACATAAAAAATTACATATATAGTTTTTGTCACTTTTTTCTTTTAACTATCATATTGACAAGATTCATTCATACTATTGTGTATTGATGAAGTATGAAATTATATACTTCTTCTAAATTATTCAATTATTTTTCCATAGAGCTGTGTATAATATTCTTTTACAATTATTTCAGTTACTATAAAGATTACATTATTGAGATCTATAGTGATAAAACTGTATTTGTAGTTATTGTCCTCTTGCTTTTTTTTCCTTTGCTCTTATCAAGCAATGTTCTTTAGTGATTAAAAATGGTGACTCTTGAGCTCTATCTCCAATATTTGAATCCGAACCATGCTACGTTTTAGTTAACATACGGCTGTATTTTGTTTATTAACCCAGTTCTTTAAAAGCTTTCGTTTTTGATAGGCAATTTTAACCCATTCACCTTTATTATAGATTTAGTTTTATTCCTTTTATTGTTTCTATTTCCAGCTTCATAACTTATTAACTGTGTGTGTGACTTCTTTAACTATGTTGTAGATTCCCTATCTTTAAAATGGAATTAACAATAGTACCTATCTCAAATAGTTTTTGTGAGAATCAAATGAGTTAATATGAATAAAGTTACCAGACTATTACCTGGATTTTAGTAAGTGATATATGTGTTAGGAGTTATTATTTGTATTTCAGATTAATGGTACTATGTATGATATTTCTTGCTGTAGCGTTACCTTCTTCAGTATTTTCATTATAGCTAAGTTAGAGTTCTTGTCTGTTTCTTTCATTATTTTTGCCTGCTCAAGAACCATCTGTTCTAGATTACTCTCTACCAGTCTGACTCCTGCAAGCCACAGTATTTCCTTAATTGGATTGTGTTCTTTTTACAATTATATTGTTAGACAGTGAGATACATGCTGGTCAGACTTTGAGAGATTTTCAGGCAGATAGTGGAAGAAAAAATGTGATTTGTTTTTCTCTTGGGACCAGCTGTAAATAGTTTGACAAGTGAATAGCTTTCTTTTGAGGAGTGTGGAAGAAGACATTTTTCTTCTCAGGCAAGGGGCTGCCTGTAGTCCCATGCTGCAAACCACATCCAGTGCTACCACATCATCCAATACAGCCAGCTTCTCTCAGAGCAGGATGCTGCATGCTGGCAGAGAAAGCATCTCTTCATGCAGCTTGGTGTTCATTTCTCCCTTGCTTTCTCTTGTGGATGGACATTGGGATTTTTTCTAGGTTTTGGCTATTACAAATAAAACTGCTGCAAATATTCTCATACAAGTCTTTTTGTGGACATGTGTTTTTATTTCTCATGGGTATATATCTGGAGTGGAATTGCAGGGTCATAGAGTAGATGCATATTTAACTTTATTAGAAATTGCTAGATAGTTTTCCAATGTGATTGTACCACTTTACATTCCTACCAGCAAAGTAGGAAAGTTCTAGTTGTTCCACATCCTTGCCAACACTTGGTATTATCAGTCTTTTTAATTTAGCATTTCTGATAGGTCGAGTCACTTTTTTTGTGTGTGTGCGTGTCTCTTGGATAAATTTTTATTGAAGTATTTGAAGTTACTTGAAATTTTATTCTTAAATGTGTGTTCATTTATGTTTTTGTCTCTTCCACTAGTACGTAAGCTTTATGAGATGCTATTTGCTCCTCAGTTTCTAACATTTCCTGACATACAGTAGGTGCCCACTAATTATTTATTTTGAATGAATAGTATGCATGAACAAGTAAATAAATCAATGTATGAATATTTACCTCCTTCCTGATGACTGTGGGATTTGGATATATCAGATACATCTGGGATCTTCTCCAGGGTCCAATAAGTGGTCATCGTTGTTTTAGTGATTGAGTCGCTCTAGAAGGAACATGGTAGGAAAAGGTTTTAGAACTGTGTACTCAGTTTGACAAATTTGCAAAATCCTCCACTGAGATAAATTTTAAATTCTAAGAGCATAGTAATATTAAAAGATAGGGTGGTTTTAAGAATTAGAAAAAAAGTTCATCTGTGGAAGCCTAATATTTAAGAGCTTCTGTTTCTTTCTTACAACTATAAGATGACAGCTTATTTAAAATTAAATAAATTATTTTTCTCAGAAAATATTGTTTTTCACTAGCACAAATAAGGATTCAGAAATTGTTTCTATAAATACATAACCAAAAAAAACCAAACCTGTTGCCGATGAGTCCATTCCAACTCATAGCAACCCTATGGGACAGAGTAGAACTGCCCCATAGGGTTTCAAAAGAGCGGCTGGTGGATTTGAACTGCTGACCTTTAGGTTAGCAGTGGAACTCTTAACCACTGCACCACCAGGGCTCCCCTATAAATACATAGGAGTTAAAAATAGTTGCTGTAATAATTTCTAACATTCAGTAATTTTTAATGTGGTATTGATATGTAAGCAAGCATAATAAAAGTAATTAGGCATTTTACATACTCAGTATTATAAAATTGTATGTCAACATTTTGGTTTTCTGGTTTTGAAAAGCCACCTATTATTACATGAATTAATTTTCTGGTAGTCTTCATGCTTTTTCATGTTGCTTAACAACAATTTGTTTTGTTTTATATTGTATGAAGTTTCACACTACAAAATGCCATTACTCTTTAATGAGATTAAATGCCATCAGTGGCTTGAAGACTTAATTTACATACTTAAAAGAGCACAGGGACTCCTTGATTCATTTTTGTTTTCTACTTAATGCTTAATAAATGATTTTGAATAGTTGTATCTGTTAAAATAAGACTTAGATATAGTTTTGTTAGTGCAGTGTATGAAAATGTAAACATTTTGCAAGCTTTTCATTGCCGTGAATGATAATACTTGTGATAATGCTTAGTACACTGTTTTATTTATTTATTGTTGTAGTTTAAGTGAAAGTTTACAATTCAAGTTAGTCTGTTATACAAACATTTATATATACATTGTTATGTGACCCTAATTGCTCTCCCTATATTGTTACAGCACACTCCTCCTTTCCGCCCATGATTTCCCATGTCCATTAAACCTGCTCCTAACCCTCTCTGTTTTCTAATCTTACCTCCGGACAGAAGCTGCCCGTTTAGTCTCATGTATCTACTTGAGCTAAGAGGCACACTCCTCACGGGTATCATTTTATGTCCCACAGTCCAGTCCAATCTTTTTCTGAAGAGTTGGCTTTGGAAATTGTTTTAGTTCTAGGCTGACAGAGAGTTCGGGGGCCATGCTTTCAGGGATTCCTCCAGTCTCAGTCAGACCATTAAGTCTGACCTTTTACTAGAATTTGTGTTCTGCACCCCACCTTTCTTCTGCTCCATCCGGGACTCTCTGTTGTGTTCCATGTCAGGGCGGTCATTGGTGTAGCTAGGAACCATCTAGTTCTTCTGGTCTCAGGCTGATGAAGTCTCTGGTTTATGTGGCCCTTTCTGTCTCTTGGGCTAATACTTCCCTTGTGTCTTTGGTGTTCTTCATTCACCTTTACTCCAGGTGGTTGGGACCAGTTGATGCATCTTAGATGGC